GTATTTATCCTGTTAGCCTAGTATGTATTCATTTTAAATATTTCCTAATGTTTGAAAAAAATCTCTGAAATTATTTTTCAAGATTTTTATTCCAGTAATTGAATGTTTCTTTTCCAAGGAAATATTCTGAAAATAATTCAGAAAGGAAATATTCAGTAAAGAAATATTCTGTCTGTAAATCTAAAGAACATATGTGAAAACTATGCAGAATTACATGAATGAGACTTTCTGGTATATTGTTACTATGAGAAGTACTAGACAGTATGTTTAATTTTAATTTTTGAAGTTCTTGCAGATTAAGTATTGATGGCAACAAAAGTACCCTAAAGAATGTTTGCTTTTAGTGTAGTCTGCAGCCGCCACCCTAAATTATGCAATCCCTTTACTAGTAAAATGACTTCTCTGTTGTTTTGTGATACCCACAGAGTATGCTCAGCCACTCGTAGGAGGAATTGTTGGTACACTTCATCAGAGATCTACCTTTAAACCTGAAGAAGGAAAAGAAGCAGGCTATGCAGACCTAGATCCTTACAACTCACCAGGGCAGGAAGTTTATCATGCCTATGCTGAACCACTCCCAATTACGGGGCCTGAGTATGCAACCCCAATCATCATGGACATGTCAGGGCACCCCTCAGCTTCAGCTGGTCTGCCCTCCACATCCACTTTCAAAGCTACGGGGAACCAACCGCCCCCGCTAGTGGGAACTTACAATACACTTCTCTCCAGGACTGACAGCTGCTCCTCAGCCCAGGCCCAGTATGATACCCCGAAAGGTGGGAAGCCAGGTCCACCTGCCCCAGATGAATTGGTGTACCAGGTGCCACAGAGCACACAGGAAGTATCAGGAGCAGGAAGGGATGGGGAATGTGATGTTTTTAAAGAAACCCTTTGAAGGTGATGCTGCTTTTTACAAAGCATCGTTTTAAAGCACATGGCCTTTTTTTTTTTTTTTTTTTTTTTTTTAATTATTAGTGGTAGTAATATATAGAATGTATTACATATCTGTCACTGAAGTGGTTGGGGAAAATGTGGTGACTGAGGTACAGGAAACTACTAATCTTAATCTTGCCATCTTGCTTTAAAGGTGTTATGGTGGCAGTTACTGCTCACCTGTTAAATTTCAAATGTCCTGTTTGATACTACTGTAGAACACTATTTTTAATACAGAAAAAGCTCCCTATAATGCACTTCAGAGAAATGAAAAATCACTGAGAGTATTTATTACCAATGCTGCAGGTACATTAATGAACTCGAGATGGCTCTGTAAGCCTGACTGGCAATAACGCATGGTACTGTTCTTGAAATACCTAATGGCTTGAAATTCTAGTCTTGTTTGTGAAAGATGGGTACTATCATGATTTCCTCTTTTATTCCTATATTCTTTTCTGGATTGTTTTTTTTAATAATTACTGATATAAGCATTGTTTTGATTGCAGCCGTATCCACTTATCCATCTTAAGATCTCTAGCTGGGATTCTCTGACTTGTAATGAGCAGGGGGATTGCTTTTTCACTTTGTGACACTCTTTAGAGCTTTAATGCTTCACAGTATATGGCCTGGTCTCGTCCTTGCATGTTCCACTTGAGGCCCTTGGTGGCTTGCCCCATTCTTGTGTTTGTAAAATGTTTATTTCTGATGAGTGATGCTTGCCTTAGTCTCATGAATTCAGATCCCTTCATGTCTTTAAGTATGCTCCTCTATGTGTAAACAGGAACAACTTGACGATTTGAAAGCTTTAAAGGAGATTCTTCTCCCACCCCCAAGTTTATTTACAATGGGATTTTTCCTAGGAGAGTTATGAAAAGTTGAAGGCTTCTAAGGGAGTGCTGTAAACATGATCCACTTACATTTATCACAGTGAAAGGCAAAATTATTCACTCAGAAGTAATATAAATTACCTCTTTAAAAAGTAACCAGAATTTGTCCTTTTGGGTTTTATACATTCACAAAATATACATTTTTCTTGAGTCTCAAGGTATTTTATATTTTTAGTCAGAAAAAATAATTTTTCATTTCAGTTTTCCATAAACTATTACACACAATATAAACCTAACGTGTATTTTTCAGGACTGCATGATCGTGCACTTTGTCTATGTGGTAAGAGGTTTGAGTAATCCTGTATGTCACCTAGGAACAGACATTATAGCTTCCTAGCAAATGAATATTCATGCCTTGTTTTTGATACCTCCTGGCAGCTTCCATGTCACCACTTGTTCATACCTGCCCAGAGCTAGTTTTAGACACAGCAAAATAGAAACCCTCTGTAATTTATTAGCCAACAATGTAAAACCATCTTTAAAAGCCTTCAGACTGGCAACATGACATGAGCAGTTCACCATATGATACAAATATATAAATCTGACATTCCCTCTTCCATAAACCCTTGTCTGTAGATTTAATGTAGAACAGTACTTTTCCATAAAGTGCGAGTCACTTCTGTTGGCCTGAGCCACCAGATTATGTTGTTGCCAGAATCCACTCAATTTGAATAAAGATGAACAGCATTTGTTTTCTTGCTTCCATGAATTGTGTCAGTATTCTGAAACATGGCTTCAGAAAGAGAACTGGTGATTTCTGCAGGCTTCCTGCCCTTTTGTGGTATGGTTTTGTTGGCCTTATTTTCACTGGTTTTTCCTTCTCCAGACTTTGAGGCGCAGTTTCATTCATTGAAAAATCAGTACATACTTTGTTTCAAAATGTTTGAAACAAAAGACATAGATGTTAGACTTTTATGAAAACATACATGGATGTGTATTATTAACGCAGTCATCCCTTTTCAGGTGGGAAGAGAGCAAACCAGTTGATTTTTTTAATTCATCCTTAACACAGAGAATAGACTTTTCCTCAAGTAATATACCTGTTTGAAGCTTTAAGAGAGATGTTTTTGGTAACTATTTCATTTTCCCAAAGAAGTTTGCTATTCTTATGTTAATTGTGTATACCTGATTGATTGTTTTTTCCTGGAGGTTTTTGTTGTTGTTTAGTTTTGGTTTTTTTTTTTTTAAGAGGCAAGTGTTTCTGAAATGATGCATATTTTAAGACTCAATTCATATTGCCACTGTGCTATCCTTGAACTACCAATAATTTTTATAAAATATCTAGTTTTTACTACTTTTATATAAACTTTACTTTCCAGATGAAGAGCTGAGCCTGATTCAAATGGTTTTTCTGCTTTGTACTTCTTTTTAGTTTATTGGTTTTTATAGTAGAGGTTTTCTATTTTTTTTTTTAACTACATTTATATCTGATATATAGCTTTGGAGACAATCAAGTAACAACTGAAAATGTGAAAGTAACTGTATCTGACAAAATTCCCTTGTATTTTTATCCTTTGCTTGCAACATTTAAGACTTAAAGTCACTGGTGTATTGGATTAAGTTTTTTCTTATTAATACAGTTATAGAAATACATCAGAGACACAACAAATGTGGCCATTACAGGTTTCATAAAATTACACTGACTTGGCTGTTACTTGATCTTAGGAAACAGCACAGTTTAAGATATTGTGAATTCTGACTTATACTTTATTAAATGCTGTAAATCTAAATAGATCCTGTTGTATGTGCTGGGTCTAGTCCAGTTTATTTAAGTCCACGTTTCACTGTTTGCACTTTGCATTGAACAATGGGTTTATTCACTGATGTAAATGGTTCGAGTGAAGAATTAATGCAGTAATTACGACAACACATACACTTGCCTCTCCCCATCCCCAGAAGAGGGGAGCAGAATCCGAGCTTATCTAAATATGAATGTGGCCACAAAGCTGTGGAAAGTGACAAAGCTTGAACACCTTTGCCCTGGCTCTGCATTGTCACCTAGAGAGCAAGAGGTCTATAGAAACATCATGTCAGATGAGACGATTCTCTGCTTTTTGGTTCTGAACTTGAAGTCCCTAAACTGCAAAATCTGAGTTGGATGGTTATTAAAATGCTTTTAAAGTCAACTGTGGCACCAATTCTCATGTAATCCAACTTGTTGATTTTTTTTTTTTTTTTTTTTTGGTGGCACTGGGCAAAGTGGAAACAAACATGTATTGAAATACATATTCGAAATAAAAATGGTTTGAGCGTCAGTGATATTCTCCCAGAATGTACTTTTCTTACCTCGGCATGTACTGTAGTCACTCAGTATTTGTATATGTTGCTAGAATTTAGATTGTAAAATAGTGAAATTTTAATGTGTTCATTTGTTTTTAATAAATTGTATATATGTCTTGCTCAGATTATTTGGTTTAAATAAAACAACCTTGAGGTTTGTAGCTTTTCCTTATACTATAAAATGCCAGATTCTTCGACTTTAACATCACTCATTTATGGCCAATATTGTGCTTCCAGCAACATTTGAAAATGCCACTATTGGTTTTTACTTTGACTTTTTCTATGACCAGCACCATCCTTTTTTTAAAAAAGTAATTTCACCTTTTATTTTAGATTCTAAGGGTACATGTGCAGGTTTGTTACATGGGTATATTGTGTGATACTGAGGTTTGTGGTATGAATGATCCTGTCATCCAGGTTGTCAGCATAGTACCCAATACATAGTCTTTCAGCCCTTGCCCTTCCTCCTCCCCTCACTCCCCCCGCCCCAGTCCTCAGTGTCTGTCGTTCCCATCTTTATGTCCTTGTGTACCCACAGCACCATCCTTTTTGAAGCCTGATTCACTTTATATCAACTGAACTTCAGCAGCCACACTGCAGCCTGTAGCTGTTGGTATGAGGGGAAAATCACACTGATTACATGTGATTCCAGTTCTGGTACCTTCCTTTTGCACCTCAAAGTTAGAAGAATCAAAACTGTGGCACTCTGCAAACATATGCTGGTATTCATAGACATAGTCCATAATTAATGTCTGATCTGGGTTAAATCAGCTACTACTATTCTCCCCTTTATCCTGCTTTATAAGTACTGCATTCTGTTTCTGAGCCCGATCTAATGTATTTCACCCTTTATACACCCTCTTTAGAGAGGCAGGTTGGTTGTCAGTAATCAAGCCATGGTTTTCCAGTGTTTTCCAATTGTATTTATTGTTCAAAACAGAGTAATTCTTTCTTCAGCTCATACCTCTTCTGACAACTTTTAGTTCCATCCTTATAACCTCTATTCTGTTCCTTCACCTTTCATTCCCCCACCTCCAGATGGCCTTTGGTTACATTTATTAAAATACAGGAAGGGAGACTACCTCACCACATTTGTAGGCTTGACTGGCTTGCATTGGATCAGATTCTCTGGTGCACCCTAGGTAGCCAGGCAAGCTTTCCATCTGAAGATTAGCTTTAATCATGGGAAAATGAGATTTTCTTTTTTTACCATTTAAATCCAAAAATGCCAACTTCACTTTTTATTTTTTTTGGAAGACAGTCTCACTGTCACTGAGGCTGGAGTGTAGTGGCGCAGTCTCGGCTCACTGCAACCTCTGCCTACCAGGCTCAAGCAATTCTCATGCCTCAGCCTCCCAAGTAGCTGGGACTATAGTGCGTACCATGACACCCAGCTAATTTTTTTGTATTTTAGTAGAGATGAGGTTTCACACCATGTTGGCCAGGCTGGTCTTGAACTCCTGAGTTCAGGCAATCCAGCTGCCTCCCTCAGCCTCCCAAAGTGTTAGGATTACAGGTGTGAGCCACCATGCCCGGCCTCAGCTTGACTTTTCTTAAGTGTTTACTTGTTCTGTTATCTTACGTACCTTTCCTAATTTACTTCAAGTGGAAAACCTTCAAAATTTAATAAGTCAGGCAAAAAAAAATAATGTTCAAGATTTTTTTTTCCTTCTTGAGCTTGCCTAGCTTAGCTTCATTGTATAAAGTTAAACTTCATTTCTTTAAAATAATACAAAGCCATCAGACTTTAGTAATTGTATTCTTTAGTTATTTACTTATCTAGAACTTTATGTTTAGCCTATTTCCTTTAACTTAAAAACACTGCCTTAATTGTACCCAATTACTCTTCACAATCATGGTTCATTTAATTCTGGGGTTGTCAGGGGAGAGTTTAAACCAGTATGAACTTAGATTTCCAGAGCCGAGTGGTTTCAGCTCGCCACATCAAGCCACATCATGTGATTTTCCACGAGCCATGTTTACAGTAGCCAAATATACTTCTCAAAATGTCTTACTCCAGTCAGAATTGTTGTGGTAAACGAAATCCTTAGTAGGAAGTCATATCCCTTCAAAAATCTAAGATGAAGTTACTATAAAAAGACGTGTAAAAACACCTCAGAAAACTAGCTTATTTTAAAAACAATGCAATCAAAACTTATTTTCCCGATATCTTAACCTTTCTTGGTTTTCATAAGTTAAATATACAGTATTCACAGAAATTAAGCTGGTGGTTATGAATCACCAGGCAGCAACAGACAATAAACATAATTATTTGACGAGTGCATCCAACATATTTTAAACTAAAAATTGCAGTACAAAAATAAAACTAACACTGTTAGCATCATCTTCCGAGTCTGTAGAGTCAGTCTTGAGTCAAGTTGATTACCAGGTTTTTTTCTATAATGTCCTTCAAAAAGAGCTGCTCTGCAGTCACATTGTGATACGCGTTCTAAAGAAGAAAAATGCAGTTACCATCTTTCCCAGTCTCAACGTGTTAGCAGTACCAATGGAATACTTTATATTTAAAAAGTTCTGAATGAAGAACTCGAATGTTAAGTAACGAGTTGCGTGGACTTTTAACTTTTGATAGCCTTTTAAATTACTTTCCTTGCTGGTTCTTGTGCAAAAGCTTTCCCTACAGCCCACTCTTTCCACTTCAACTCTCACATAAGTAAGGCTCCTTCATATCAAACCCTGGTAGACCGAATCATGGTACAATACAAATCTGGAGACCAAAATTTTGAGTTGTTCACTTTAATGGAAGAAGCCCCTAGAACTCAGTTTAAGAACAAACAAAAAAATCAGCCTGGAGATAAGAAACTTGTAATGCCTAGTTCAGTTTAAGATGTGATAAAAATTACTGTTCTATACATGAATATCTAAGTTTTCTTCCTGAGGAAGTTGTTTTAATATTCTGCTTTTTAGGTGACACTTGAAATACCACAAGTGCTACAGGAAAGTTTAGGGCCGAGGAGAAATGAGCCTAATCCAAAGCCTGTTGGGGCACCTAATTCTTGAAATACTTAAGTGCTTGTCTTACGTGGTGGGGACAGAGGATGAGGATGAGGGACAAAAGACAATACTAAAATCTAACCTGATTTATGCCACTTCCTCAGCTTATATTATAGTGGGATGATTCAAGGGGACTCATTTCATGAGATATATCCCTATACTTTATATCAAGTAATATTTCAATATTAAAAGTATACAGATAACATTTTAATCCTATCACTTGTGATGCACTACTCATTTACATTAGAATTAGAAAACTAGCAAACTCCTTCCCAGTCAAGTAAAATACAAATCCTTAGTCAGGCGCAGCAGCTCATGCCTGTAATCCCAGCACTTTGGGAAGCTAAGGCGGGCAGATCACATGAGGCCAGGAGTTCGAGACCAGCCGGGCCAACATGGCAAAAACTCGTCTCTACAAAAATACAAAAAAAGAAAAACAAATTAGCTGGGCGTGGTGGAGGGGGTGCCTGTTATCCCAGCAACTAGGGAGACTGAAGCAGGAGAATCACTTGAACCTGCAGGCAAAGGTTGCAGTGAGCCGAGATCGTGCCACTGCACTCCAGCCTGGGCGAAACAGTGAGACTCTC